CGTCATGAAAATGGTATTGAACCTCAGCAGTAAGTGTGGACGATCTCTTTCTCTATTTAGGGAAAAAGCTTGACTTACGAACCTTTGAAAATCCGGACCTTCTGTTTTTATTATCAGATACATGTTGTAAGTCTGGTGGGTCCTGATAACTCGTAGCTTTACACACACACACACACACACACACACACACACGCGCGCGCGCCTTCATTGATTTCACGAAAGCATTCGACCCAGTTGACCACAATTTAATCATCAACAAAGCTATTGACCTCGGACTTTGGAGAAGTCTTATACCATGGCTTACAGACTTTCTCAGTGACCGACGCCAAGCTGTACGCTTCCGAGGGGCTGTCTCCACCTTTCAGTCACTCAGCTGTGGCGTCCCCCAAGGCACCAAGATGGGACCACTCTGCTTCCTTATGCTTATCAATGATGTCCTAAGAGAAACCCCTGCTCGCTGGAAATATGTCGACGACTCCACTATTGGGATCAGCGTCAACAATTCTGCTCCCGACTATACCGCCCTTCAGGTTTTATTGAACAGTCTCCAAAACTGGGCCACCAACAACCACGTCACCATCAACCATACCAAGACCATGGTTATGCACATCAACCTCTCCTCCGACATTGTCCCACCCCCTTCCATTACTTTAGGTCCCAACACACTCCAGGTTGTAGATTCCACTAAGCTCCTCGCGTCACCATAGACAACAAACTAAATTGGAAACCACACGTCAGTGAAGTTGTCAAGTCCTCCAATTTCCGTCTCCACCTTCTCCGCCGACTCAAGTCTCCTGGAGTTCCTGCACCCGAGCTCCTCAGTGTTTACTCAACATTCATACTTCCCAAGCTCACCTATGCCTCCCCTACCTGGTCTTCCTCCCTAAATGCCACATAACGAAAACACCTAGAAAAAGTGCAAAAGAGGGCATGCAAGATTATTCTCTCCCCTTCCTACTCCACATATCAAGAAGCGCTCAACACACTGACCCTTTCGACTCTCATTGACCATCACCACGACCTCATCTGCAAATTTGGTAAGAAGCTTCTGCACCATCCTCGACACCGGCTCCTACTACCACCTGAGATCCCTAGCCCAAGAATTGCTGTTCGACACCACAACCGCATCCAGCCCATACGTGCACGAACTGATCGCTATAAGAACAGCCCAGTCCCAACCATTGTAAAAATTATCAATAACTTGTAATAAACCAGTGTATTCACTCCCAGTAAATCCTACTTCTTGCACTGTCACTATGTTGAAATGCCCTGTAGTTTGAGCTTTTCCCCATCTAGTTATTATATATCTTATTTGTATCACTTATGTTATTTGTATATTATTTGTAAATCGAAACCCATTCCCCAATTATGTAACTGTATATTTTCAGCCTTCTGGCTGCTATGCTCTTTCAATAAACCGTTAATTATTATTATTATTATAAATATTATTATTATTATTATTATTATTATTATTATTATTATTATTATTATTATTACTACACTGCTGTCACCGCCCTCCATCCATCGTAAATTCAACCCGGGGTAATTTTTCAAGCTGTCGACAACCGTGATGGTGAGTTAGTGTGTTATGATGCGGTGTGAGGCAGATGTGTAGCCGCCCCTCACTCATCCATGTGGCGCCGCTCATCCACCTTCCCGCTGTTCGAACTTGTGACAGACTCGTTGATGGATGAGTGGATGAAGTGAATTAGTTAAGAGACAGACAGAAAAGGTAAGGAAATATTTATTGTAAGGTAGCGGTCGGTGTGTGCATCTTGGTGGAGGGAGTATGGTAACTTAAGTGTTATCGACCAGAAGCGCACGGGAGCACTGTCAGTATAATTATAATCACTGAGAAGCTCCACTACATGATGACATCTAGAAGGCGCCATTGTCTTTAAATTACACGTTGGAAGACGGTAATGTACATTTAATTATCGCTTAGTAGACAGTAGGCGCTCAATAACAGTCCCGACACTGGCCATCATGATAATTTACGCCCAGCCTCACCTTTCCCGCCAATATTTGTTTATTATGCATGATGCTGCGGGCCAAACCCTCGACTTGGCCCCACGATTCTTGTATTCTTCCTTCCAAGCCCATCCCCCGTTGTCTTTAACATTATATTAATCACCTATGATCATATGGCCTTTTGTTGTTGTGCATTGATTGCTGAGTCACCTGACAGAGGGCGTGTCGCACTCCGGGTTAGTGACCTCTTCCAGTATAGCACAACAGATTCTAAGTGTTGTGTATACTCCTGACTCGACTATCGTACACTTAGACGGGTTGTGAGTTTGGTGTTATTTTTATGCACCCGTGACAGACACGATCATGGATTTACTTGAAAATGTCTACTTATTTGTTCATGTATTGTAAATGGATATAGTTAATTGTACCGGTGTGTGTGTGACATGCTCGAGGTAAAAGGCTAAGTGTGTATACAGGCGTGCGTGTGTGTACGCGCGCGCCTATTAGTATAAATACAGGATAAACGTGGGTCCTTTAAGTGGCTCTTAACCTAGTTTTGGCAAAGATTGGATCTTGAATTAATTATTCCTGAAATCGAAGGCACCATTTATCACGGTCCGATGGTGGTGGTGATAGTGGATGTCATGGTAGTTATGGTGGTGGTGATAGTGGATGTGATGGTAGTTATGGTGATGGTGGTGATAATGGATGTGGTGGTGGTGTTAGTAGTAGTGGTGGGTGATAGTGGTGCTGCTGATGGTGTTGGTGACGGTAGTAGTGATGGTGGTGACGAGGCTGCAGGAGTGAACCTCTCAATACTGATGTAACTTCCATCACTGCCCTACGTCATCTTCATAATCTACAGTACTTACGTTAACGCTGATACTCATCTACACATATATTATCAAAACTATTTAAAATTTAAAATATATATAGATAATACTGTACTCTTAGACCATTTACTTTAACTCCCGCATATGAGTTCCGTCCGTCCGTCTTTCCAAGTTTCGTTTCGGAAGCATAAATGTAAAACTATGCGCAATGCGTAAATAAAAGTTCGTATGTAAATGAACTTGGTAAAGAAGTGTTAGTTACTGTAAATAATACATTGGTAATAAGGGATACAGCTGTTAGTCGTAAATAAATTATCTTTATTATAGATTTTACTCATTAACAAACAATTGAGTAAATGAATAATAATAATAAAAATAATATTGAAAAATAAAGGATACACTTAACCGATATGCTCTTATTAATTATTGGGATTAAAATGTAAATAATAATTTTTTTAAGGTAGCAATACTATTGATAAAGACAGAAAGAAGAGCATAATTAAAAACGGTAGGTAATAAAATGAGAAATATTAACATGTGTTATTAACCTCTTGAGTACGATGATAGTTCCCTGAGTACAGTATTATCGTACTCAAAGTGTTATGACATCGTACTTAAGGACAATATCACTATAATCAAAGGCTTAATATGTACTCAAGGGAATATATCAATGTACTCCAGGGGTTAGGACGTACTTAAGAGACTTTATTAGTGTACTCGAGGGATTATATCAATGTACTCGAGGAGGTAAGATGTACTCAAGGGACTATATCAATGTACTCAAGGGGTTAAGATATACTCACGGGATTAAGATATCTTTCTCAATAGGATAATTCATTGTACTTGGGGGGGTTGGCATCGTACTCAAGGGTTTTTTTATATCTTACTCAGTCGACAATCATTATACTCATGTTTTATCGTACTCGAGGAAGGGATAAATTCATTATACTGGAGGGGCTACGTCATCATACTCATGGGGTTAAGATTATCATGATAATTGCCATGAGGTAACCTATAACATACAACAATGAACTCTATGCATTTATAACAAAAGAAACAAACTGGTGTATTTCTGCTAAAGTTAGTGTAGTGTTGTGTCTTGAACATGTTTGTGTGTATATGTGAGTGTCGTGAACCTGTGTATATATTGTTTAGGTGTTGATATATGTGTTTGTATAATAGTATAGATTGTTTATTTAGGCGCGTTGTATAAGTGTGTGTTTGTATGTCATGCACGGATGTTTTTGTGGTGTCGGGGTGTTTGTTATGTGTGTATATTTTTGTTTGTTTACATAGCAGTATTGTTTGGGTAGATATATCTTGTCTGTGTGTGTGTGTGGGTTTAGGTAATCATGTGTGTATTTGAACATATCTCGTGTGCGTATATGTAGGAATGTCAATTATGTGTAATAACCAATAACCAATAATTCTGTAGGAGAGGTCTTAGTGACACACACACGCACATCAATATTACGTCCAGCCCACAACATATCCCGCACCTCCAGCTAGGCTTCCTCCTGCTGTCGTTCCTGGTAGTTAAGATCAGAGGAGGTGTGATCACGGGGGAGGTGTTCCTGAATATTTTATCTCATAATTGCCTTCACCTGTTAACCCACCTGTTCCCCCCCACCTGTTACCCCCTACCCCGCCTGTTACCCCCCCCCCCCCACTACCTCACCTTACTTTGCGTGTCTGACTCCTTACAGAAAAAGAATGTGTATATTTACTATTTGTACATGTTTCTAAGATTGTATACTTAAGCGCAAATGTGTTTTATTCTATCAATTATGTAGACTCAAGAGACACACAGTGCATACACATACGCATTACATACACGCACGGAAGCACCGACATGTTTTTATTGCCTTCTGAAGTAGGTGAAGAAAATCTCTAAAGTATTTTTACTCCTCACGACATCACACATCTCTACCTGCTGGGAACGTCTTAGACACCCACGAGTTGTACACCTTGGGCTTGTGTACAGGAGGTGGTAAAGAAGACGATGGGGCCTCTGTGAACCATCTCTCTCTATATACACACACACACACACACACACACACACACACACACACACACACACACAAATAAAACAACTCCCTCTGGAGCTTCGAGCCAAAACCAACCAAAACAAGCTCGTCAATCATGAACTTTATGGGCATCAAATTATAATCATATTTTTTTTCTCCGCTGTGACAGAATACAAAATCAGTGGAGGTTGTCGACCGTCATGGCGGGTGTGGCAGGGCAGAGGGTGTGCTGTGCTCTGCTGGCCCTACTGGGGATGGTGAATGTTCCTGGGGCGGCGGGTCAGCCTTCAGTGTCACTTGCGCCCTTCGAGTTCCACCACCGAGCAGTGATGGACCAGAGGGGCGCCTACATCATGCTGTGGACGCCCCTGCAGGACAAGATCGTCATTGAAGTACAGGTGAGCTAAGGGTTGTGGGTTGTCTGCTGTTGCCTTGTGTGTGTGTGTGTGTGTGTGTGTACTTTTTGCAGTATACGTGAGCATCTCTCCTCTAATACCAAGATGTAGGTGGTGACTCAGGTGTTGTGTTGCAGGTGGCGACGCGGGGGTATGTGGGGCTTGGCTTCTCCCCCAACGGCGGCATGAAGGGCGCCGACGTGGTCATTGGGTGGGTCGACGCCCAGGGTCAATTGCAGTTCCAGGTAAGTGGCACCCAGTAAGGCCATGCTAGATAGGTGGCACCCAGGTGTTTGCATGAACAGGTATATGAAGATACAGGCATATGTATAGGTAGGTATAAGGTGTTAGAGGTAGATTTATAATGTAGTATGGGCAGATGTATGTTTTCCCAAGTGTAATCTGATATACACTGGGTTTAGACACAGGTGTAGTCAGGCACATTACAAACCAGTGTAGTACGATGTTCCCCTCACCCTACCGTCACACTCCTCTGCACCTCATCCTAAAACTCACACTATCCCCCTCCCCTGTTATCTGACCTCCACAGCACCACCGTCGAGGGAGGTCAAACGCTTCTTGATTGTATAGTTCTGTTTTACTTATGACAATATATACATTTTTTTCTTGAGTTAAAAAGTCCAACTACAGAGTCTCGATCGCCAAGGGTCATTCTAAAAACTCAAAATCACCCCAAATTGACATTCTAACTCACGAAAGATATATCCGTCACCTGTACATTCCCAGACTTTCTCTTCCTTATGTTGGTTTTGTTGATGGACTCGTCTTGCGTGTTTAACTCCTCTCACCGGTGTTGACTATGTAAAGTGTTTGGGTCTCGTGTTCAGTGAAGTCTGTCTACACTCTGGTCTTCTCCAACCTGTAGTGTAGGAGAGTAAAAGAGCGATAGAGAAGGAGAGTAAAAGAGCGATAAAAACCGTGAGAGGAGAAAATTTAAAGATAGAGAGAGCAAGTAAAAGAGAGAGGACACACACACACACACACACGGTACTTTGCTTTTACCTTGAATTCTGAATAAATGAAAAAAATTACCTCTCGTGTGACAAAAACATAACGTTGAACTACTCTGTGATGTTCCGCCATGATCCAATACTGTGATAGATGTCCACTCATGCTCCTGTGTTGCAATAATCTCACCCACGCTCCTTTAATGCTCATATCGTTTTGATATTTCTTAATGCTCCTGTTACTGCAAGATATTCCTTCATGCTTCTATTAGTGTGAAATGCTCCTTCATGTTCTTATATGTCTGATATGCTCTCTTTATACTCCTTGACGCTCCAACGATGATAAACTCTCCTTCATGCTCCAGGTGATGGCAGACAGTCTCTCATTGCCGTGTCAGTCAATGCTCCCTCATACTCCTCATAAAATAAGTATTAGTTCTCCCTAATGGCCCGGCCCCCCTGGCCATCTACCCTCTTCATCTTATTTTTTTCTGTAATTATTGTTTATTCTCCGTCTTATCTGTTATTCATAAATGCATCAATTTATGGCCTTGTAATCAAGATGGCGGCGACTTCTAGGTTGAAACTTTTTTTGGTGTTTTGTTTATATACTTGATCCCCAATTGCCGCAGTCAACAGGAATAAGTGCGGGAGTTTTTATTTATTTTTTCTAGTACGCCGAAATCATGCCATCGGGTAATAAAAAGCACTACTGGAACGCAAGCTGTCAGACAATCCTCGTCATACAAGTTGGATTACTCGGGAAAAACACAAAAAAAAAATCGACAAAAAACGAAGTGACTGACTCGTCTCTTCAATTAGCTACGGGAGGACGTGTACTGATGTTTAGGGATATTGACCTCTTGGCCTTATTATTATTATCACACACACACACACACAAAGCTTTATAAAGACTTAGAGATACTTGGCTGAGTTCACGATTCTGTGGTTGGTTGATCGTTTATGAGTGTGAGGAAATAAATGTTTTGTAAATAATATCCGATAATTGGTTAAGAGGATGATGATGATTACGTTACTACATGATGATTAAGGCTGTGTTAATTATATATTATGTAGGGGTTTTTGAGGTGAGCGTTGTAGTAGTAATTGGTGGGTAAGTCTTTGTCCTCAGTACGAATCATTAAGAATCTACATATGACTTGATCCTCGGGAGGTGAACCTTGTAGTCTGAGTACGACTTGTAGGTTTCGGTTCTTAAACACTGAAGCAGTACGTTGGTGAAGAATCCATAAGTTGTGTCCTGTTCACCTGTGTTGTTAATTACACAGGTGAGGTAAATAAACGGTCATCCCAGGTGAGAGAGAACAAGACTTAATTAACCACATTAATCTGTACATGTCTTTAGGGTGCAATATTTCCCCCGAACAATAGTAATTTTGATTTTATGCTTTTAATGTTGGGAATTCATTTAATAAGTAATTTTTAATATGATAAAACTTTATCCTCCTAACTTTGTAAAACTTGGTATAGATGTTTTACTATTTCATTAATTTCTTTAGATACAAGTGTATTTTTCTTAGTCTTGTGTATGTTTGTAATCTCTAAGGCACTTTGTTTGTGTCCTGTTTTCCTCCATATACACCCACATACCTAATAATTCCCTACATAACCCCCACACCTCCATTCTCCCACACACACAGTCACACCCCTTTCCACATTCACTCACACCCCATTGTCACCCACACGCACAAACAGTCACCCCCACAAACCACCCACACCCCCAGTTTCCACCACACACTCTGACCGCAGTTCATAGCCAGAGGTGTCCAGCTCGGGTATAAACAGCCAGCAGGTTCCCTCCCTCCGCCGCCGTGAGCACTGCCCTCAGCCAGTTTAAAAGATTCTTGCGTGTTAATTCTCCCGCCTCCTGTATTTGCCTCCCCTCCATGCCAGCCTCTCCACCACTACCATTACGTAGATTGGCCTCTCCACTTTGCCTCCGAAAATCGGCTCGGGTCACGCAGGCCTCAGGAACCCTGTGTCGGGTCCTTAACGCCGAGTGTGTGGCCAGGTGGCGGTGCAGGTGAGGTGATGGAGGGCGAGCAATGACTGCCATTACCCCCACACACACACCCCGTGATGCCCATCGCTCTCTGGCGCCACAATGTTGTATTTTGATGTAAATTACTTCCTTTATGTAGGAAAAAATACCCCTTCTGAATAACACAATGTGCAACGATATTTTTGTATAAGTAGGCCTGGGGGTCACTTAATGCAGTCTAGGTATCCGTTAAAACTTTCGATGGAGCCACAAAAGGTTTTGCTTAAGGTGATTTTCCACTTGATGATCGACAAGTATTTGGACACCGTGGTGGGAGTCGGCCAGGCCTTATCCTGTGAGAGAATTGTTTTGTCCTGATTGTATTGTGATGTGAGTGGCGTGGGTGGTGTGGGATGGGTAGTTGGGTGGGCGGTGTGGGATGGGTAATGTCAGATGGGTGGATAGTGTCGGATGGGTGGTGAGGGATGGGAGGAAGGGGGGATAGCGAGGTTTCTAAAGATGAGAGGAAATATATGTAAATTTTTAGTCTTGAGGAGGGAAGCAGGAAGAATATTGCTGTTATTTATAGACACATTATGGATAAGAGTACTAATAGTGTCACATTTTAAAGAACAGTGTGATAGATGTATAGATGTCAACGGAATTTTACTCATAAACGAAAATATAGAATTAACACTTCGACATCAAGGAAAACAAAGAAAAACAAAGTAATAAAACGAAAAATACAAAAATAAACACTTTAACCTCAAGAAATAAACGAACAATGCAGAAAGAAACATAAAAAGTCGAATAACAAAACGAAATCTGCATAAACCAAACATCCCAACATCAATGAAATCATATTATTATTTTTGTCCTTATGGTACACCGACCTCCTCCCGCCCCCCACACTACACCATTCATCATCTCCAGTCTCCTCCCGATGCTTCCTGCCACAAACACCCAACCCTTATTAGTCCTCCCGGCACGTATGTGAAGGTTGTGACGCCTGGTATCTCTTTCCTGATCTGTGTGTTTTAGCATGGGAGAGTAGGAGGGCCAGCATGGGAGGGGGTGGGAGGAAAACAAACTCTTCCACAGGTAATTATCATTGTCCTGGGTGGGGGAGAGAAGGGAGGATGCGAGAGTAGAGGAACACTCGAGGACAGGTAAAGTTAATGATGGTATACCAGGTGTGTGTGTGTGTGGGTGTGTGTGTGTGTGTGTGAAATAATATCACGAGTATAATAGCGCTAACAAACATACGCAGCAGCACTTATTACGAACGTTTAAAAATGAATTATTGATAATCATGTTATTTACTCGTGGAATTTAGATTACCTCACTTCCCTCCACTCCTCTCCCCAATCTCTCCTCCCCAATCTTTCCTCCCCTCCCCGATACACAGTTTATATCCTGGCCACACCTCGCCACCACCACTACCACCACCCCTTTTTAGCAGTCAGGTGAATGACTGTGTGGGCGGAGTGTGACAGTCACCCCAAGGTCTGCGGCATCCTGAGGGCGGGAGAACTTCTCTTGGGTTGTTGTACTGAGTGGCACGGATTACGGTGATATCTGGCACTACAGTATTTTAGAACGTCAAGGGTGTGTGGTGTAGTGGCTGGCAGGGGAAGGTCATGAAGGTCAAGAAGTGTATCTTTAGAATTATTCGCCGCTAGAGTGATAGTGGCGCAGTTGGCGTCGTAAACTATGTTGACGGTGATGATGATGATGGTTGTAGCGAGTCATGACGCCTCTCCCCACGTCCACAAGCCATGAGCAAGAGGGCGCGCGTGTAGATGCTCTGACAAAGGAAGGAGCAGTGAGTAGGTCCTGACGTGCACGTGGCAGGTGCTCACACACACGCGACAACACAGCGAGCGTGCACGTGGTGGCGCGTGTCTGACGTTACGCTTCATGCTCATACTTCACTCCCTCCCTCCTTCCCTCCCTCCCTCCCTCTGCTAGAAGACAGGCTGCAAGTCGGGGATGATTTGACCAGACATTAACACAAAGACGTATGATTATATCTCGCACGAGGATATGGAAGGAGAAGTGACATGATGCTGAGAATAAATCAATCCATCACAGACACAACAAAGAGAGACGGGTAATAAGACAACACACTAAAAAATATTAAGGTAAATAATATGAAGAAGTAGAAGAATTATTATGGAAATACAAGAACTGTGTGTAGAGGACTTTAGACTGCGAAGTTTACGAGGACAGACTGGGGGCAAATTTATACCAGTTACAGTGTTTTGGTGTCAGT